ACTTCCTCTAGCATTTGTATATTAACTGATATACTTGTCATATTCATTGAAAGTTTGCATTGTTACTTGTGAACAAATCAATATCTCTTTTTTTATTCACTTAAAAACAAATCATGTTCATTGAGATTCAGCATAAGTCCTTTACTTGTTTATTTGAATGACAGGAATTATGATTTAGCATTTGAATTTTAATTTAAGAATGTGTATCTTTCAGTTTAAAGTTTGGTTCCCTGTGATTATTCAAGTTATGTTCCTTGTTGTTTTACGTTCAAGTCCCTTATTGTTCATTCAAATTTCCTGTCAATTGTTTACGTTCAGGTCCCCTGTCACTAAAAAATATGGCAACCTCGCGGTGTCTCCCCCGTTTAGAAGAAATTTGGGGAGTCAGACATTCCTGCCACACTATAGAAAAGTATGTACAATAAGTGTTGGGTGACACTGTTGTTGTGATATTCGATCCCATCACGTCAAATAAAGGCATGTATGGATATTGAGTGTACCTATTTTAAAAATGCAGTTTTTCCATACAGGCACTAAAGCACACATACATGTACTTAATTGTCCCCGCCACGTTAAAAAAAAGCGTGCACATGGCCTACACGCCTCGCCTTAAGCACCGCACTAGGTTCTCTTCCACCACACTATAGAAAAGTGTGAATGGACAATTTTCTGGTGCATCGCGAATGCCGAGAATAATATTTAAGATTTGTTGAGTTTTCTAAACATTATACCTTGCGCGAAAGTCGATGACGGTGGTACTGAGGTGGAGATGGTGGCGAATGCACAAAATATTTCTTTCTCTTTCTTCTTTTTTACTCTCTCCGGCAACAACAACAATAACCACAAGAATAATAGAAACTAATAACACTAACGAAATTAATTACTAACACTAACTAACAATGATGGTTTAATAAAAATGGAGGGGAAGAAAGTTGCTAAGGTCGGGTTGAGTGAAATGGTGAGAAGAGATGGTGAGGAAATTCAGTCGTAGGGCTATTTAGTGGGAATTTGTACAGCGAACAAGGGAAAGCAGATTTGTTGTATTATGCAGGAGTTGGGGTGGGTTATGGGCGTTTAAATAAGTGAGGGGGGTTGTTCTGGGACGAATTATTATGTCTGGTCACCGGATGTCCGGACACCCAATTTAGACATGCCACGTCACCCGAATACACTGGGTCCCGATGCATTTTGGTGACGTGGCGCGTCTGGATTGGTGTCCAGACGAATCCGGACACTGGACATAATAATTTGCAAATACTCAACAAAAAAGCTAAAATGTAATTAAAATTATGTATTAGCTGCTCTTTTTCAAAAGTACATCAAAAGCGTAATAAAAGCGCACAGAATCAAACGAAAAATTAGGTCCGGTGACAGGACCTAATAATTTGCCATCTATAGGGAACTTTTATTAGGTTCGGACACATGACGTAGCTCTACATCCGGACGCCAATAAAATGTCGCCACGTGCTCTTACTCTGTACCGCGCGGCCCGACGACCCAACCCGAAATGGAAACCCGGTATTGCTATGTTCGTGTATTGCTAGGTATTGCTCGGTATTGCTTGGCAATAACGAGAAATACTGCTTTGTCAAAATCAATACCGAGCAATACCTAGCAATACCGAGCAATACCTAGCAAAACCGGGGTATTGCTAGGTATTGGTCTTGACAGAATGGTATTTCTTGTTACCGAGCAAAACCTAGCAATACCCTGCTTTGTACAAATTAGTTAATACATAGCAATATTGGGTTCAGGTCCGGGTCGGGTCGTCGGGCCCCACGATAAAGAGTAAGAGCACGTGGCAACATTTTATTGGCGTCCCGGTGTAGAGCTCCGTCAGGTGTCAGGAACTAAAAATTCCTCTACAGGAGCTAGAGTCGGATTAGGAGGAAGGGTCGGAAGGCTTGCCGTAAGTGGATCTCACAACTGTGAGAGGCGTCGGTGGCTGCGAGTCTGATACTAGAGGCGGATGGTCGACGTGAGTGAGGCCAATCCGACAAGGTTTGGAGCTGGAGGTGGGATCCGGCTGCAGGAGATCGTGGACTGCGGGTCGGGGCTTTCGGTCGGCACAGACAGAAAACGGGGTCTTCGCACAGGAATGGTTTGGCTTCAGTAGGCCTCGACACGGTGACGGGAGAGGCAGCGGGATTCAACGACTGATTCAGTGGGTAGCTGCGGCTAATCGGGCAGGGATGGATGGGCTTCGACTCGTAGAGGAGGAGGCAGGTGACTTGCGTGACTAAGGTAGAAGGATGGGGCGACAAGCGGTTTGGTTTCAGTACAGGAAGGAATTGTGGTTGAAGAAGGTTGGAGCGGGAGTCTCAGCACAGTAGAGGGACGGGATCGGGCGTGTTTGAGAGGAAGTGGAGTTTGATTGAGTGAAGATTGCAGGGATCGGTCTCTAAAGCAGAAAGCGGGAAAAGACGAGGGTAGTTCGTTCATTCCTGAAGGCCGTGGAATAGAAAAATCCACTGTCAGCTCAATGAAAGCAAACTCACACACATCGTATATACAAAGACTTAAAATTCAAGAAATCTTAGTCGATAGTCGAAGCTCTCAACCAACAAATCAAAATGAGCTGTGTTATCACTCCCATCTTAACATGGAGCATATAAATTGTTGAGGTGGACTGTCGAGATCTACACAGGATTTACATTCGGATTCACAGGATTTGAATGAAGTCGACGCTCATCAATCCGACAAATTATTGTGTCCGGATTCATCCGAACACCAATAAAAACACTCAAAAATACCGGGGCCCAGTCTATTTAGGTGAGGTGGCCTGTCCGGATTAGATGTCCGCATGTCCGGTGACCGGACACAATAATTTGCCCATCAATCCATGGTACGTTTGATTTTGGTTGATTTGATTTTTTTTAAATTAATTAGATTGATAATAATAATAATATATTTTATAGAACGAGTCAATTACCCAAAAAATGTCTCGACTTGCATTAAATTAATGAAATAATATATAGTTTTTTTTTTGTTAATGTAGTTATAGATCAATATTATTGTGAAAGATCTCTACAGAATTATGTTATCAATAATAACTTCAAACTATTTTCTCTTGAAGTCAAGTATATGATGTGTTGAATCGCGCGCACTCCATAATTGTTGTTATAAGTAAGACATAAATCACTAATCAAACTAAATATGCAAGAACAATTACACCGTGACTTAGGAATTTTATATATCCTGGCCCTTCACTTTCAAGCTGATTTGGATGAGGATAATTATTAGGTTTTGACAAATAACTCTGATATCTCAAGCAATCTCAGGAAGCACCTACAAAATGAATTCATCATTACTTATATAGTTTGTGTTAGAGAGCAAAACCAATTAGGTATTTGATTGACGTTATTTTTATTCCCATATTAGACAACATAAGGAATCTGTGTGCTGCAAAAATTAATGTTTTCAACTATTCAAAAACACATCCCATTAGATTTCTTACCTTACTGCACTTCCAATGCCCCCTCATATCTCTATATATTTGTTTACCAATCATAAAATACAAGATTTGAAGGTAAGCAGTTGTTCTTCATAATCGAGCAGGGGATCAATAGCACAAGGATCACACAATCCATGGGCTTGTGCTTCTTTCCTTATGCATTTTTGAGGTATGTAATCAATTACTTCTAATCATTCTACTTTTTCACTAAGAATTCAAACAATGATGCCTCATATTTGACAAAATCAAGCATCTTACTAACAATAATATTATGTTTGTCATATTGAGAAGGGCACCATCTACAAGATAACATAAACCGAACTTTCAGACATCAACACTTTCAGTACACTTCATGAATGCTTTCTCCAAAGTTTATATTTTTGAAGTTCTTATCATCATAAAAAATATTTATCAGATAATATATTTCTTCCCCTCATCTTCTTAAATTTCTTTTTAGATGGGATCCACAAGCTCCAACCCAGTAATCACAATAAACTTGATAAGTTAACAATGTTATGTTCTTCCTTTCAATATTGAGCACAATGAATTATCATCATTCATCATCAATAATAGTTCATGAATCATTCACCAAATAACCACAGTTCATGATAAATAAAGATCTAACTAAATGAGGAATCTCTTTGTCGATGGCAATAAGATCATTAGCTTCAAATTGCACAATCACTTTCTCTCACTCCTAGCTCTATATATGACCCGAGCAATATAATATCCCTTTATATGTGATTAGAGTGGACATCTCCGTTTTGTGACAAAACAACTTAAATAAACAAATTTTCATAAGAGATAAGGAGGACAAAATAATGCAATTGAATCCTAATCAAACAATGTTCAAACCTCTTATTCACATCATGATCAAAATCTTCTTAAACCATGTTCAAATATTATTCAAAAATATTTGAACATTGCTCGAATCTTATTCGAGCCTTATTTTAACCATGGTATTCAAATTTTACTTGAACATCATTCCAACTATGTTCGAACCATAAAGACATTATTCCAACAATTTTTAAACCTTAATCAAACAATCTTCAAACTTTATTCAAACAAAGTTGATTTGAACGCATTCATAACAAGTAATGTGATATCTAATGTCATCATATGTTTAGTATTTAGAATGCAAATGATATATTCAATCCTAAATAATCAAACATTTACGATCATCAGAGTAAGCCAAAAATTGTAGTGAAAATTCGATGCAGATCACCCACACCAAATCTAAGAACACGATAGACAAAAGTACTAAGAAGACGAGCGATCAAGAAGCATATTTTCTAAAATATATGTATGTTTTACTTTTGGTGTCATGGGGCAAAGTTAACAATGAGTAGTTAAGATACATAGGCTTCGTTTGGGACAACTTACTACTTCTTAAAGCACTTTTTTAGTACTACAATTTTAATTTTTGTATAAAAGAACTGTTTTAAAAAGCGCAGTAAGAAAGTCGTCCCAAACAAAACCTTAGAATAGGAGAGATGATCTTTATTGAGAACACAAACAATAACAACAGCAAAGCTCTTCAACAAAATATAACAAATGAAGTCAACTGAAAACCTTTCGCATGAAACTAATTATTTGCACCGTTATGGAATCTTGAAGTATTCAACGTGATTGCAATGAATACCACAACATATAGAATTCCTGCAGAACATAAGAAATAATAGCAGCAAATGCAAGCAGAGTGGAAAGAGGACCAATTCTACTTCGGAGCAAGTTTGATTGGGCAAATTGCAAAAGCAATGCGCCTTGCAGCGAAGGCTAACATGAAACGTTCATCCTCTGTTAGTTGTCTCTCAATTACCTTCACAACAGATGGATCCTGTAAATACAGCAAAGTTCCAAATAATGAAAATTAGTGAAAAAAAAAAGGAAGCAAATAGTTTATTTGATGGAATGATATGACAATGAACATTTTTATCTATTTTCATAGTAACATATTATTGGTTAGGATTATATAAAAGTTTCCATGAGAAATTACATGGGTACATCAGATACCCATGGACTAGAACTCTTAATGTCTTTTTTATGAATACTAAAACAAAATTAGCAAAAAATTAGAGATTGAAAAAACATGAAAAAGAAATCAAAGGTGATGAACCATTAAGAATAAATAAGAAACAGCCATTGAGGATTGGTAGCAAAAGGATTCTACTCTATGTTGATTTTAATTAATTTCTTGACAAAGCTTTCTTGATACATAAATAAGTAAGATTAGTAATGCTGATTTAGATAATTTTCACGTTTATTTTTTCTTAGAAAAATATCACATTTGTTAATGTGAAGGTTGCAAAAATATTAGAAACCAAGATTTTAAAAAACTAGACTTCACTTCATTAAAAAAAGGAACTTCAAAAGGATGATCCAACTAGATTATGCATTTCTAGTACTTCCCAAGATTCCTTTCATAAACATCAGAAAACCACAACGCAGGATTAAAGGATTTTAAGCAAACAGGGCAAGTTTCAATAAAACTGCTCCCATTTGATAATCTTAAGTTTTAAGGGGAAAAAAAAAGGTATACATGCATCAAGAAAAAACCTAAGAAAAATTGTGAAATGGCTATTTTGTTACTGTGAGATGTTTCACTGAATAAGTTACGAAAATTACATGTTCAGTAAAATATGTAGTCAATATTTGGAGTGATCTTGCTTCTATTCTTCCTATTTACCTTCATAAATGATTCGCTTTTCTTGGATAAAATTGGCAGATAGATCCCAAAAAAAAAATTTGGTAGATAGATTTTGGGAATAGCAAGGTAAACTACAGTAAAATGTAAAACAAAAATTTGAAATTTAATATGCCAAAAATCATATCAACGAGCAGAGAAGTAATAAAGTTATGTTTTCCACATAATAGTTCACAAAGTGTGAACCAAAAAATAACAAAGAAAGAGATTCTGTGGATACCTTTATCTGTAGCTCGTTGGGAGTCGGTCTAATTCTAGCAACATCACCAATCCGGATAACATTGTTGACATTGCCATGTTCATCCCTCTCTGTTGGCAATGATGTAGAATGCCTCCACTGTCCCCCAATAATAAATTTATATTTATACCTGAAATCTCAATTTAACAAATTATTGGTTAGAAAATATTAGAAATTATCTTTTTTTAATAGATTTAAATGAGAATTTAATTTTTAACAAGATAAAATGGCGAAAAAGGATTCATGTAGCCGACCCCACGTAGTGGGACAAAGGCTTGATGTTGTTGTTGATGATGATATAAAAATGAAGGAATTGACATGCATGCGACAAAATTTGAGTTCCTATATCTAACACCTAAAGTTCTATATTTAGATAGATAACACTCTAACGTCTAAATTGTATCAAAACGTAAATTTTACTTTAGATAAATTAATATTAATAATATTTTGAATATGTTATATACGTAAATATAATAATTTAGGAGTTAGATATATAAATATATATACAAGAATTTTGTGGCATGTAGGTAAATTTTCATAAAAATATTGCAATGTCAGGAACACAGTTTTAACTCTGCTCCAAGAAATCTAAAACAATAAACATACTTTCCATGCCGAAGTCTAACTTCTGCTTCATATCTTGAACCTCCTTTGTGTACTGCCTTTATGGATTCCTTCCAATTGCCTGTGAAGTCCCCCACCAAGCACACCTCTTCTCCCTTCAACAAAAACATACAAAAGTAACAATGTTAGAAAAGTAAAATTGCTAAAATCAATGTATTATAAAAAAAAAACACTCAATCATTTGAACCTAATCACAAAAATACAAACATTTCATAATAATAATCAAAAGGCGAAAAGTCATTACTCGATAAAGTTGGAACCTTACCTCTCTACATCCATTGTTCCACACAAAATTTACAACATGAGTTGGAGATCCATCAATTTTGCCATTTTCTGCCATGGCAATAAGGTCCCATGTGGCCCAAACAATTGCTGGTCTGCAGAAAACATCATTTTTTATATTCAATCAGAGACGACTTATAGGCTATGAATTGAACAAAGCTACTCCATAACAAAAATTAGTATGCAAAAATGCCACAAGCAAAGGAAACTCCAAATCAGGACCACCAGCAACAACTACTGGCTGGATTTAATCTATGTTGCATCGATACACCTATTTATGAAGGCGTACTATATCGGATATGTGTCGGACACGAATACACGTCCGATACGTGTCGGATATAGCAAAGCCGTATCCAATTAAAATAATATTTAATTTCAAAAAGACATGCGTATCCGATACGCGTGTCCCGTTGAAAAACTAAAAAAAAATCCCAAAAAATAACGCAAAGAGAAAGGGCTAACATTGAGATGTTGCTCGAGCCAACTAAAGGAGTATGACAGGAAAAATGAGTTACTAGACATTTAATGCTTACTTTTATTTTGATATTATAAGCTACAAACCTACAAATGATGTTGTTTTTATTTTATTTTTGTCATTTCAAATATTATGCTTTGATTACTTTCTTAATTTTTATGTATGATTTATAATTTTAATGTCGTGTCCAAGCCGTACCCGTATCCAGTATTTTTAAGAATTGACGTATCTCGTATCCGTATCGTGTCGTATCCGTGTCGCCGTATCCGTATCAGTGCAACATTGGATTTAATTTTGCAGATATTAATTGATGGTAAAGATTCATAGAAAATAAATGCAAATGTACCTATCAGGTCTGCATGAGTGCAAGCCAGTAACAAAATTATGGGCAGCACTAAGGGCAGTATCTTGAATCCAGTGTAAGTACGCAATAACACATGCAGGGGATCTATCGAATCCAGTAGTACAAGTCACAAATATACGATGATTCTTCCTCAGAAGGCGTAATAAAAGCCCAACAGAGAAAGGAAGTTTCTTTCTCAGGTCTACAGAGTCCACCTCCCTACAAAAATGCCACAAACAAAAAAATAGTAAATTCAATAATCATTAATTAAATAAATCTTTCTGAACGAAAATAATTGTCTGCATGTAAAATTGAAACCACAAAAAAAGCATGATTCGAATAAGATTCACATTGCAACCAGAAATCCGACTTATAACAATTTTGACTAAAATCAATCACTTGCTGAACCAATTTCAAATTATGTAGATACAAAAGAACATACTAAAAGATCATAAAATAAAGAAATTCAAGAAATTCAAGCCTGACGTCAATACAGAGAGATAACTTTCGCCAAAAATTTATAATTGCCACTTGTACCATTCTAGAAGAAGTCACATCCAATACAACATTTAATAAGCCAAGAGGAACAAAATAATTCAGAAAAACATTATTGAAAAGAACTCTCCTTTACATGTCTCAGGCATCAATAATCACAAAATCCCTTCAGCAAATAACAATAATTCGAACTAAGGTTTCGTTTGAGACGGCATTTTACTGTTGCTTGAAGCAGCTTTTTAGTATAAAAATGTACTAGAAAAGATGCTTCAAGAAGCAATAAAAAAGCCGTTCCAAACGAAGCCTGAAAATCACTGAAATCCCACAAGGTACAGTAATCAATCCTTAAAGATATGCTCGAAAACATGCATAATAAGGCAGATAAACCAATCAAAATTCACAGCTACGCTCGTAGATGCAGAAATCACGTAATTCCATGAACAATTAGGCTGCAATCCAAGAAACTCATGAAACTGTAAAGCCGAAAATCTAGCATTGTATACTCACGCTCCGACTTCAAGCCACAAAACATTAATCCAGTAATTTGTCCCATTACGTTAACCAAGAAACAAAGAATCAGCAAACCCAAGCAACCTACCACAGAAGTAATAAAAAGCCACAACAAGCCACAGATTACAATTACACGTACAACCAAATAAAAGATCCAATAGCAAGACCTAACAATCAAACTACATAGAATCAGTCTCATCAACAACAAAACAGCAAAATCCAGAGTACCAATAGCTGAAACAAGGAACCAAAAATTGAATTTACATAATTTAATTTACTGAACCGCTCCGAACTGTACAATACAAACATGATGAGACCACAACATCATCTCTATAGGGGTGGTGCATTATCACATACATGTTTATACTAAGACTAACAAACAAATGATTTAAAAAATTAAATCAATTAAAGTAATATTGACACTCAAATGTTGATTCGCATTATTTTAATTATACAATTGTATTCAATTGGTTGAAAAGAAAATATGAGTATTTTTTTAGTTTGATTTGATGTATGTTTAAAATGTGAAACATCATTTCCATATAGTGGTAAGCCTGCCTTCCTCGGAAGTCGAAACCATATTTGTAAAAATCAAAAACAAATTAACAGAGAAAAGAGAGATAGATCGCCATAATTTAAAAGAGAACCATTGAGACAATAGTAAAAATGGGGTGAAGTTATACTATCTGCAAAGTGGCGTAATCCATATCAACTAATGAAACAAAAAATTTATCTAGCATTCAAGCAGTTGTAGTCCACTAATGCAATGAATAATAAAATAGAAAGAAGTGGAAGCAAACCACCACCTTTCAAGTGCTGAGAAATAAAGCAAGAGGTACATCTTGATGCATTGTTATGAATGGTTAGTATAAGGTAGAGAGATCCCAAATAAGAGGTATGTGCTCTAGCCTTGTAGAAAGAATGTCACTTACGGTGTCTTTTTCATCTGCTATGATGACATTGAGGCGGCAGGCCGAGCAGTTGTAAAGCATCAAAGTTGAATGACGGAGAGATCTCGAAGAGGCACAATTTTGAGCTTGTAAAGAAAATGTGCCATATGCGAAGTGAGATAATGAGGCCATGAATAGCTAGCGATGTCATAACTCATAAGGAAAGAGAAGGTTTTGAGTGGGTGGAGATTGAGGCTCTATTTGGAGCAGCCTTCACATTGCTCTGTTTTTAGACCACAACCATACTTTTGCATTTACCTACTGCTTCCTTGTTGTTTTCAAAAAATTTAAGTGATAGGAAGCTATTTTTTATAATTAGATATGATATTATGTGGTAGCTATATGAAAGTCGTTGAAAAAAATTATAATCTCCGAAACTTTCAAAAAAGTTGCTTTTCTCACCGCTTCTTCACATGCACCTTTACAAAAAGTAGCAGCCATCCCAAACGGATACTAAATATGAAGAAATTAGAATTCACTTGATTAAGATGGTTTTTTGCGCTACATTACTTTGTATTTTATATATGTCATTTTTTTTTTCTTTGCACTTACATTACTTTGTAAAAAACCTAAAAAATTACAATACTTGCAAACCATTTACTTTACACCCACCATACAAGCAACTAAAAATAAAACATATATCTTTCAAGAAAATGTTTTAAGAGCTATTTTCCATTTTCCAAATATTATGACAACAAATTAAAAATCCAAACCATTAACATTGAAATGATAGGTTAATTAGATTTCTATATTTCCGTTATCCACCAGTAATATTAAGTGCATTAGTGGATGGCTGTTTTCAGCCAGTCATTAATTGAAAAGAGGCATCATTTGGTTTGAAGCAGTTATAAGTGTGTGTGGGCCTTTAATTCTTTCTTAACCTATTTAGAATTCACGCAAGCAGAATAGAGAAGAAAAAGGGAAGCAGTGTGGTTGTGGAAAGGATCATATTTTATAGGAAGAATCGACTCAATATACTGTTGATGTTACAGCACAGTGCAGCAGAAATCCCTGTATCTTTGTTTGGCACAGTGCCTAGATTACCTGTAGCATATTCGGCATAGTGGAATTTGGCAGTAAAGAAAACGGCAAGGTGATCAGTGCAGGAAAATTCTATCGTTGAATTAAAGAAGTAAAAGGGTTCGGGATTTCGAAAGAATAATTTTAGTAAAGAATTCTAATTCAAGGAGAATACTAAAGAAATTGAGAAAGACGAAGAAGTTTAAGAAAGAAGGAAGAGAAACAAGTTTGGTATATTCCTAGTGTAGATTTAGTAGTACAAGTTCTTAAAGATGTTGTATCTTATGATATCCTAGATTCATCTAGTCATATGTATAGAGAGTTTCGAAGTGACGTATAATCATAGAAGAGTACAAAGTAGAGAATTGGAGGAGATGCCTCGATAAGAAAGTAAGTAATGCAAATTAAATTTTTAAAGACAAGTTTTGTTAAATTATACTTATATACTGAAAATTGACCGAATTAAAGAAACATATGTATTACAAGTTATTTATTTTGATTAAAGATGTTCTTCTCCAAATTTTCAAGTATGAATAATTGATTACATAATTTCAGCATTTGAGTCCAAAATAAAGTTTTGTATGTTCATCTAAATATTTTCCTAATTAATAATGTTTTGAAAAAATGTTAATTTTCTTACATATGATATGTATATTCTTTGTATTATAATAAAAATTATAATGAAAGCATGCAACAATATAATTATAAACTATGAATATGTGAAGTGTGTTGAATATAAACTTCAAGTAAAATTTAGCTGTAAATGATGTATAACTTATAAGTGTAGATTGGACAAAAGGATTTTCATACATGAGACTACATTGTAAGTGGGACAAAATATTATATTTGCATATCAGGTGGGGCAAAATTGCAAAAGGGACCCTAAAGAGACAAAAAATGATCTTTATGTAATTCAATGACAATAATGTCAGGTTTATAAGGCTCCATTGAATATTGTTATGAAAGTGTAGCAAAATTTTTTATAAATTAAAATTAATATTTAATGTAAAAGTAAAGATTAAAATAATAAAATTCATCAAGATTTTATGATATTTTACAAGAAAAAATAAGTTTATTCAACGATGATTTCAATATTTTGATTTACTATAATTACAATATTTTAATTGTTAATTAATTTGCAAATCTTATTAAACCTCATAGCTCACCAGTATCTTTTTTACTGGCTGTTGTTACATGAAAGGAAAAAGAAAATATCAGTGCAAATTAATTTGCAAGTTATTTCATATTTTATTTTAATAATTATCTTTGTTGTGAAGCCTAAATTTGAGGTATGAAAACATTTCAATGATGTATTATTTTGAAATTGTATTAGTAGCCTGTAAGTATGACTTTGATGAAACTTTAAGTTATTAGATATTTCTGTTGATATAATGGAATATTAGTGAATATTTTATTTTACTTTCTAAATGAATGAAAAGTATCAGATGTTTAATAATGAAAATATTTTTTTTTTGTTACACTCTACAGCACTGTTAAGAGTATTATGGGTGTTACAAAAGTGGTATTCACTTTTGTGACACCCCACAATACCTCTTAACAGTGTTATAGAGTGTAACATGCATAACATAAAATTTTTCTCATTAAATATCTGATACAATTCCTTTGAAAATTCACATAAAACATCCAATAATATTTCATATGATACATCAACAAAAGCATTTAATACATTAAAACTTCAACAAAGACATACTTACAGAGCCACTAATGAAATTAAAATTAATATATTATTGAACTGTCTACATACCTCAAATGTAGACTCACAAATAGAGACAACCATTAACATATAATATTGAAATACTTGCAACTTAGTCTGCATCGATTTTTTCTTTTTTTTTTCCCTATAACAACAGCCAATAAGAAATATACTGGTGAGATGTGAAGCTCAATAAACTTTGTAAATACATTAGAAATTAAAATACAATAATTATAATAAATTAAAAACTTTAAAATCATCATTGAAATAACTTACTATTATTTGTAAAATATTCAAAAAATTTCCATCCAACAATACAGTTAATACATGCACTGCTGCTTTCCTTCACTGCCACAAAAATCTTTTCATCTGAACTCTTCTTCATTAAATAATTTAAATTATGAGCTTCATATAAAATCTCTGAAACAAGATCGGATTTCTTTGGTATCCAGAAATACCGATTGCTCATAATTTTCTCCTGATCATCTAAAATGAGATCCTTTCTTTTTTTTGATTACTTTTGCTCTATAAGTTGCAGATAATCTGGGCTAATCTTCTGAGCTTCAATGATTTTTTCCTACAAAGAATGATGAATTGTCATATGATTAACACTAACTGAATCTTGATCCCTACATTCTGACTTCGAATTTTAAAGTTTACATTTCTTTAATCAACCATTCTTCCATAGTCAACATACAATTCAACTATACTTTAGACTTTCTGCTTAATGTATCAGCAACTACATTAGTTTTTCCTAGATAGTACTGGATGTCAAGATCATAATCTTTTATCAATTTTAGTCATCTTCTCTACCTCAGATTTAATTCCTTCTAAGTGAAAATGTATTTCAAACTTTTATTATATTATGAAAGCATGCAATAATATAATTATGAACTCTCAATATGGAAAGTGTAGTGAATATCAATTTAAAGTAAAGTTTGACTTTAAATAATGTATAACTTATAAGTGTAGGTGGGACAAAAGAGTTCTCATACATGAGACTACATTGTAAGTGGGGAAAAAAGAATCCCAGAGAATATTATATCTGTATACCAAGTGGGGCAAAAGAGACCCTAAAAAGCCAAAAAGAATCTTTATGTAATTCAATGACGATAATATACCTGGGCTTCATTGAATATTATTATGAAAATGTAACCAAATATTTTACATATTAACATTGATATTCAATGTAAGAAGTAAAGATTAAAATATTAAAGTTAATTATAATTTTATGATATTTTACAATTAAATATAAGTTTATGTAATTATGATTTGCAAAGCTTATTAAGCCTCATAATTCACAAATATCTTTCTTACTGCTATTGTTATAGGAAAGGGAAAGAAAAATAATTTGTGTAAATTAATTTGCAAATTTTTTCATAATTTATGTTAGTCATTTATCTTTGTTGTGAAGTCAACATTGAGGTATGAAAATATTTCAGTAAAGTATTACTTTGTAATTGTATTAGTGGCTTTATAAGTATAACTTTGGTAAAATTTTAAGTTATACCCTAGAGAATATTATATATTTATACCAGGTGGGGCAAAAGAGACCCTAAAAGGCGAAAAAGGATAACTATGTAATTCAATGACTATAATGTCAGGTACACCTGGGCTTCTTTGAATATTATTATGAAAGTGTAAAAAGTTATACCCCATAGAATATTATATATTATACCAGGTGGGGCAAAAGAGACCTAAAAGGCGAAAAAGGTATCTATGTAATTCAATAGCGATAATGTCAGGTACACCTGGACTTCTTTGAATATTATTATGAAAGTGTAAAATTGATATTCAATGTAAGAAGTAAAGAATAAAATATTAAAATTAATTATGATTTTATGATATTTTATAATTAAATGTAAGTTTATGCAATTATGATTTGTAAAGTTTATTAAGCCTCAAAACTCACTAATATCTTTCTTACTAGCTATTGTTATAACAAAGGGAAAGAAAAACATCTGTATAGATTAACTTGCAAGTTATTTCATAATTTATATTAGTATTTATCTTTATAGTGAAGTCAACATTTGAGGTATGAAAATATTTCAGTAATATATTACTTTGGAATTGTATTAGTGCTCTATAAGTAAAAGTTTGATAAAATTTTAAGTTATTAGATACTTCCGTTGATGTAATTGAATATTAGTGGATATTTTATTTCATTTTCCAAATGAATAAAAAGTATTGATATTTAATAATGAAAATTTTATATTTATTTTTATAATATTCCACAGTATTATTAAGGGGTACTATGAGGTATAATAAAAGTGAATTGTGACACCCCACAGTACCCCTTAACAGTACTGTAGAGTGTAACATGCATAACATAACATTTTTCTCATTAAATATATAATATAATTCCTTTCTTTTAAAATTCGTATAAAACATCCAATAATGTTACATTTGATACATCAACAAAAGTATTTAATAACTTAAAACTTCAACAAAGACATACTTACAGAGCCACCAATAAAATTCAAACTAATACATTACTGAATTGTCTATATATCTCAAATGTAAACTCAGAGACAAACATTAACATATAAAATTAAAATACTTGCAACTTAGTCTGCATCGACATTTTCTTTTCATAGAATTATATTAGTAAGCTATGAGGCTCAATAAACTTTACAAATATATTAGCAATTAAAATACAATAATTGTAATAAATTAAAATATTAAAATCATCATTGAAATAACTTACTATTACTTGTAAAACATCATAAAATGGTAATTAACATTAGTATTTACTTCTTCTAAAGTTTACACTGTATATCAATTTTAGTCTATAAAAAATTTAGTTATCCTTTCATAAAAATATTCAATGGAGACCAAATAAATATGACATTATTAATATTGAATTACATAAAGATCCCTTTTGCCTCTTCAGGGATCCATTTTGCCCCACCTACTATGCATGTATCATATTATCTGAGATCCCTTTTGCCCTATTTATAAAATAGTTTCATGCATGGGAACCATTTTGTCCCTCCTACAATTGTAAATTATATATCATTTATAGCCAAATTTTAATTTAAGTTGATATTCATTACACTTCTCATATTTAGACTTCATAATTACATTGTTAAATGATTTCATAATCATTTCTGTTATAATATGTATACAATTAATATGCATACCATATGGAAAAAAAATTAACATCTTTTGAAAACAGTATCAAATTGGAAAGCATTTAAATGAACATGTCAAATCTTATTTTGAACTCACATTATAAAATTATGTAAGTAATTCTTTATACTTGAAAACTTGGATAAAAACATCATTAAGCAAAATAAATAACTTAAAATACATATTTTCCTTTAATTCAATCAATTACCAGTAGACAAGTATAAATTAACAAGAATTGTTTTTAAAAATTTAATTTTTATTACTTACCTCCTTGTCGAGCTGTCTCATCTAATTATCTACTTCGTACACTTCTACGATTGTAAGTAACCTCATAACCTCTCCTTTGCATAGATCCAATGAATTATCATTTAAACTTTCTCTCTTAATCTTCCTTCAATGATTCCTCAATTTGTTTGCACACTTATCTCAAACTACAATTCATCACATATTTCCAAATTAATAACATCTAAATCTTAGTGACAGTTTTCGAAAAATTTCCATCCAACAATACAATTAATATATGCACTGCTGCTTTCCTTCAATGCCACAAAAATCTTTTCATCTGAAATCTTCTTCACTAGAAAGTGTTGCTCCTAGTGACAGTTTTCCTTCACCGCTCCTGCCAGTGTTCCAAAAACACTATGTTGATTCTTCCTACAGGATTTCTACCGTTGGAGCCTAGCCTTTTTTTTTGCCTCTTACTGCCTCTTACTGCAGTGTTTCCTGTACTATGCCTTTCGAATTCTCCTACATTCTCTTAACACTTTTGTAACACCTCATAGTACCCATTAAAAGTACTGTAGAGTGTAACAAATATAAATATAATATTTTCATCAGTAAACATCTGATACTTTTTAATTATTTGAAAAGTTATATAAAATACCTACTAATATTTCAATTATATCGATGGAAGCGTATAATAACTTAAAGTTTCATCAAAATAATACTTACAGAGCCACTAATACAATTTTAAAGTAATATATCATTGAACTGTTTACATATTTAAATGTAGACTTCACAAACAAAGATAAACACTGAAATATTTTGTATGTTCAAAGTTCATAATTATATTGTTGCATGCTTTCATAATAATTTTTGTTATAATCTGTAAAGAATATACATAGTATATGTAAGAAAATTGACCTTTTTTCTAAAACATTATCAATTAGGAAAATAGTTAAATAAACATACAAAATCTTATTTTGGACGTACTACATTAGAGGTATGAAAATATTTCAGTAAAGTATTGATTTAAAATTGTATTAGTAGCTCTATAAGTATGACTTTGATGAACCTTTAAGTTATTAGATGCTTTTGTTAATATAATGAATGAATGAAAAACACTATGTTTAATGAAGAAAATGTTATTTTTATTTTTTTTTATATTCTAAAACCATCATTGAATAAACTTAATCTTACTTATAAAATATCATAAAATCAAAATTAAATTTAATATTTTAATCTTTATTTCTTACATTGAATATTAATTTTAATCTGTAAAAGATTTAACTATATTTTCATAACAATAATTCAATGAAGTGAATATTGTTTAACTTCCCGTTGCTGTGTTAGATAAAAAATGATATAAAAAATGTGGAATAATCTAAATTCAACAAGTCTATATGTAACGAAATTTACAAATATTGTAGCATCCATCATTCATAAGAAATTTAAAATATATAGATAAAAAATAAGATGAAGCATACAAGAACACAAAGCAGAATAAATCAGAGTTTTGAAACTACCTGTATAATTTTTTTAACAATCTTAAAAATAAATGCACCTGATCAGAAGTCTGGAGAGATGCCAAGACATCTTAAATATGATATACGTTCACCTACCTAATAGGATAGTTCACCATAAGAATATTTGAGTTGCAGCAGAACTCATTGATAGCTCGTGAATTAATCCCCCAATTTGCTCGCTCACTTTCGCTTTGAAAGTTCAGAACAGCAGTGATTCCCTGGGTACAGAAACTAAATTTGGCAAATATAAAACTTGGACAGTAGCGAACTACAAAACAAAACATAAAAAATCACCAAGATTTATCTTCAAAAGGAAATGTAAAATAATATGTATGTGAAACTAAATGTGCATTATATGACAACTTCAAGACGAGCATTGCAACTACTAGGAATAATTCCCTGAAATATAAGAAAAAGCGCATATATTGCTGATTCCAGTAAAAAATGAAACTTGCATGGAACTTAGGTTTAGACAAGTACGCAGGCCTATCACAAATACTAAAATTTGTTCAAGAATGCTTTTGATTGCAGACTTCCACTGCCAAAGCGACTCTTGGTCCTTTCATCCTTAGAATCCACCAACTGGTCATGTCTTTTGAAATTGAAAGGATCAAAGGAGGAGAGAAAGAGATTAAACAAATAATTCTGCACACGCACAAACAGATGGGGATGGATTCTTAAGGGGTTTGTGACTACAAAACAGTGGGATTATCCATAATTGAGAAAATAGAATGAAAATGAGGTGCACGCTATAAGTAGAGTAAGGTTGTATATGCTGATTCTAGATCATCCCTTCAGAAAGTGTGATGAACAAGAGAAGAGTAACGCTATAACATTTTTTTTATACGGAATTTGTTCTCAGGGTTTGAGAAACAAATATTAGATGAAGGTAAATCTATGAATGCAACTAATGAAGTTTGCACAATGTAGAAATGCAGTCCTAAGCTAACGCAAACAAAGAGGAGATACGGAGGACAGAAGAGTAGCTTTTCAATTCAGTGAAATAACACTTGTAAAAGCTTTTACTGTAGCAGCAGCTTACATATATAGAGGTAAGTGTAGTACACGTGCCGTACGCGGGATGAAAATCAGCCACAGGTGAGACCTCTTCATCTACTGGTGTAGAGTGTGGCATGAACGTTGGGGTTTGACTGGTTTTTGGCGAGTGCGGTGGACAGATTAATCTCTTCGCTGAGGAAAAGAGAGCAATGGTCTTCGAGTCCAACATGGGATAATTTTGTTCAGATGGAGGTCTTGAATGCCTAATATTGCTGAGGAAGTCCGTTGAGGGTGTATAGCAGAATGTCTTAACTATCGATGGAGCAACCGACAACTGCGATGTTGTCGACCAGCGCCTTGATGTTCGTAGGATATTCGATCATGGTCTATAGTCCCATGGAGATGTGATGTAGCTCATTCTTGAGTTGTATCACACACAACCGATATATGGCTTGAATGCGTTGTTCAAGCATGCTCCAAATGTCTGCACAGGTGTCGAGATGAAGGAATTATAGGAGGACGCTAACGGTAATGGTGGAGCATAGAGTGGCTGCTAAATTCTGATCTATCAGTGTCCAACGGAGGTGTGCCTCATTCGGTCTGGATGTGCCGGTAGTGTCGAGAATGAGGCGGGGAGGAACAGGTTTGGATTTGTCAAGGAAGGAGGCATAACTATTCGCCCTAAATAGTTTGAGAATTTGGGATCGCAGGTAGAGTAGTTGTCATTTGATAGCTGGACAGGAACGATCGTCTTAATGTTGGAAATGAGAAATATAAGGGAGGAGGGGATGATGACTGTTTCCTGGGTGAGCTCATTAGAGGCGTCGTCGGTGTGTGAGGAAGGGGGGTTGCCATCCTGGTGACTATTGGGCTGCGAGCCAGAGAGGCTCTGATACCGTGTAGAAATGCAGTCCTAAGCTAATGCAAACAGAGAGGAGATATAGAGGAAAGAAGAGTAGCTTTCCATTTCAGTGAAATAACACTCGTACAACCTTTTACTATAACAGCTGCTTGCATATATAGAGTGTGGGCTCCGAAAATTCGGCCCCGGCCTCTGCCCGCTGTTTGCTTTTCTTCGGAGGGGGGGGGGGATTTTAATGAAATAAGTTCCAAGGTAAATTTTGGAAAGGCAGATGGGTTTGTAGATAAGACACTACCCAGATATTTCACCCTCATTTTGTGAGAACTTTATGATCTGAGTTCTGGTTTCCAATAGGCGCAAGTCCCTATAGTTAATTACTCCTCTTGATAACGAGAGAGAACTTTCGATTAAGGCTAGTCGTCAATCAGATACTTATGAATACGAGTTATATGGCATATAGTAGCAGCTGAATTTGGATTTGGGAATTTGAAGATTTTGAATTGGATATTTGAGAAAGTTTGATATTTTAAATAGAAATTCTTGCACTCAAAGAAAATGGTGGGAGAATGGATGATAGACTCGATCAAGATCTCATGGTTCTGTTGTCCCGGCCATCGTGGTCCCTGATCTACTTAGTCAGAGGAGGTAGTCGACCCAACCTGACAGAAGGATCCTTGTCGGCAGCCATGGGTTGCTTCGTCCAAGGGTACCTTGTAGACCTGGGGTGAATATTTGCCTAAGAGAACAAATTTGAATCCATCTTAGCTAAGAGAGAGCTTTGTGTCCTGTCAATCATATCATATTGATTCATATCTCAAGGATTTGATGCCACTAAGGAGCGTATTGGCTCTAGCCATAACCGATATTTCGTTGTGCCATTTGGCGGCAAAACCGGCGATTAGAGGATACGTACCACGTCCTTATTGGCAGGGGATTATTTGAGAATGAATCCTAATAATTTTTTCGACTAGGCATTAGATCTATATGAGCTGAAGTTATTTTCAAATTTGTCCACCTCGACAAACTATTGCGGAAGGTGGATGGATTTTGCTTTAAGTGTTAATGGATAGATTTCAGTTTTAAATATCTTTGGGATTTTGAGATTTTTGGACATTTGGATGACATTTGGATCGTATATTACTTTCTTAAACTATTTATAGGCCTCTTTATTTCTTTCCTAATTAGCAGAATTTTTATATATAAACCAATTTTAATAACAATTTTTTAACTTTTCATAAAACTTTAATTCCACCATCAATTATTTTTACTTTTAGGAGTTTTTTTCTTTGATAATCCAATCATATATTTTGCAACATGCTTATTATCACTAACTTTTTGTTCACATAACATTAACTTAATCATGCATAGACAAAATCTTAAAATCTAGTATCTTACTTTTAAAAATATTTTTGTTAATATTTTTTAAATGCTCTCATCTAATCCTAGAACAATATTTTATTTTATTTGTTATTTTCTAACCCTTCATCTTAAAGTCCAAAACTAATAAACGATGTTAAGCACATAAACTTTCACTTGAAATAATGTTACAATCTTTGCAATATATCTATGATAAAAACTAATCATAGATGAAGTTTACAAGTGGTTGATCCATGCATTGAACTTCTTAGCATCAATTGTCCAATCATATGTAGGAATACCCACGTGGACTATGAAAGCATCTTTCATGAGTGGTAGGCATATCACCATCTTCATCCTCTTCAACTATGTTTGTATTTATCATGGAAATAGGAGTGATATGACTTGGAACCCTAGTCAAAGTTGTAGTTCTTATATTCTCATCACTCCATCATTCGGTCATTTATTCCATCAATCTAGCCACTTGATCAGCTAAATTAGTTTTATTTCCTTCTTTTCTTCATCTTGACATTTGATGTGTCTCCAAGACAAGAGGGAACTTTCCCTTGTCCTAGTACCCTTCTTCATTTTTACCATAGACCAAGAATCACTGTTATGATAACAAATTGATCCATAGATCTACCTTCTTTTGAGTTTTCCCTACTATATTTTCTAAAAAAATATAGAGAAAGTGCCGATTGTTCTCCTTTGAGTAGCTTGTGTCAACACTTAAATTTGCAACAACAATCAAGAAGTAGTGGCACCAAAATAGCAGCAGCAGCTTCTCAACCAAACAGCACAACAGAGCAATTTAGCAATGCAAAACATATCAAAGGAGAAACAGGCAACTCCAAGTCACCGGGAAAATAGTGACAAAAGGGGCTTCTATTAGTGCTTCCTGCTACAGGAGCCGAGTGCCAAGGCTTCCTTCCATAAGAAGTTACATGAGCGTGCCCAGCCCCTTCGATTAAAGCTAAAAGGTTGGAGATGAAGGAAATGACCGCAAGCAAATGTTGACAAGAGAGAGGAAGTTTGTTTTGAGAATTTTTTTAGTTCTTTTTTAGATTCCACAGCTATGTGAGTGATCGGCATCAAAAGGGAGGTCAATAAGATCTAATCTTTTCCTAAACAATCCCCACAAAGAGAGGAATCATATCCATTATAACAAACCTAAATAACTTTTAACTTAACGATAATTCCTAGAGAAATCATCTAAATTGAATTTAAATTTGAATGTAAATTTATCATTAAAAAATTCAAATCCGTCTAATCAAATTGTAAAAAAAAAATTGATCTAATGGTCAAGCTTTTAGCGCTTTGAGACCTCTCTCATTTGATGTTTGAATGACAATTTAATCACGCCTATGAACTCATGGTGACATCCTCTTCAATCTCAATAACGTGATCAAAGAATAAACAGCATTGGCAATTTTTTTAAACAAATAAGATTATTAAAACTTCAATTAATGATGCCAAAATCCTAGATATATCACTAATAGATGATTCATAATATCCCCCGATATTTAAAAATCTAGTAAGCTTCACTCAAGTTTCTTGGTAAATTGTAACTTGAGTCAACCCTAATTTCATGCCTTAGACCCTTAACAGAACACAAAAATGCCTCGAGGCAAAACTGGCTTACTTACAAGATTTGCAAATCTATTATAATATTCAAACACGCTAAGATTATTTTGGTTGCAACCATTTAAGTGATTATTCAATTAATATTGATATTCATCATATGACATATAATGCTCTTTTAAGTATATGTCCATTGCAACACCATGTTGAATTCATTTTGCTTGAAACACTACACCAATAAATTTGATCATGTCCAGCTAATTTTATTTCAGCAACTTAAACTTCTAGAAATCAAACAAAATGTTTTCTCCAAAAACGAAAGACAAAAAACCAAATTATCAGCCATTCCAAAAATAACTCAAGATCATTCCTCCCATTGAACATATTGATCATCATGATGGTTACATTGTACTTGTTTAGAATAACCATGACTTGCCCCAATTTGCTTAAAACACTTTCTTTTCTTTTTTTCTTTTTTTTTTTTGGCCTAAGTATTATGCTCGATTATGATTGACATAATGTAGCAGTCATAGGATTTGATATCAATTTGATGTAGGATGTTTGAGGGTCAAGGATGATATGCTAAAATGAAATCACATAAAAAATTATAATCCACAGGTTACCCGCTCTTAACTTTATCAAAAAATTGTAACTTTTAATTTAAAAAAAAAAACAAATTGCTTCTTCCATTCTAAATGAAAACTTAAGGTTACCAAAAAAAAGTGACAATTTCAAACTCACATTTCACACTATGAAACAAAAATCTAATACACACCACACTTAACTAAATTCCAAACACACATGCACAACTAGTAAACAACAGCAACAGCATGAATCCTTTTTCTCCATTGTGTCATGTTAACAGTCAAATTCTCATTTAAATTTAATAAAAGAATGTCATTTCTAATATTTTCTAGCCAACACTTTTAGATCTACCTATACCACATAGGCCAAATCCAATACATCTGCTCTCCTGATTGGGGCATCGGAAGGCCGACGTTTTATTTGTCCAAACCATCTAAGGAGACTCTTTCAAATCTTATCTACCACTAGAGCTACTCCAACTTTTCACATATGTACTTGTTTCGCATTCTGTCTCTAAAAGTGAAGCCACTCATCCACCTTATCATCCTCATCTCAGCAACACTAAACTTAGTTTTAAGTTTCTATTTTAATGACCAACATACTACACTATATAAAGCATTATAGGTCTCACCACCATCTCATAAAATTTTTCCTTAAGTTTGAGGGGTACTTTTCTATCACACAACAAGCCCAATGCATTACTCCACTTCAACTATCCAACTTGAATTCTACTAATAATATCCCCATCGATTTCACTATCACTTTGAACAACCGACCCAATATATCTAAAACTTTTACTCATATGAATAACTTGATCACCCAAAGTCACAATCCCCCACTATATCTAATATTACTAAAATTATACTCCACATATTCAGTTTTAGATCAACTCAGATGAAAACCTTTAGATTCTAAGATTGACCTCCATAATGTAAGTTTTTCTTGAACTCTCTCTCTAATCTTATCAACAAGAAGAATATCATCAACAAAAAATCATACACCAAGTACATCCTCTTGCAAATGTCTATTAAGAACATCCATGACTAAAGAAAAAAAGATATGAGCTTAAAGCTAATCCTTGATGTAATCCAACTAGAATAGGAAAATACTTGATCAAACCACCTTATCTTTGAACATAAGTAACAACTTCTGCATACATATCTTTAATAACTTAAATATAAGCATTATAAACTCATTTCTTTTCTAGAACTCTTCAAAACACTTCTCTTGGAACTTTATCATTTGCTTCTCTAAATCATTAAATATCATAGGTAGATCCTCCTTATTCTCTCTATACTTCTCCATCAAAGCTCTCAATAAATGTATAGCTTCCATAGTAGACCTACCATGCATGAATCAAAATTGATTTTGAGAAGCATTAGTATCATTTTGTAACATATGCACAATAACTCCTCCCATAGTTTTAATATATGACATATTAATTTAATTCCTCTATAATTTGCATACTTGTGCATCACCTTTATTCTTAAAAATAGGAATTAACACACTCCGTCTTCACTCATCTGACATCTTTTAAATTTTCAAAATAATATTGAAAATTTTTGTAAGCCAAAAAATTCCTTCATCTCCGAAGCATTTCCACACCTTTATTGGAATATCATCAGGTGTGGAAAACTCTCTAATTTCAATTTTATTAATACAACGATAAAAACTAAATCTTTATTTTCATTTAGGTGCTAAGGAAACTACAGTTAATCGTATTTTCACAGTCTTCATTGAAAAGCTTATCGAAATATCACATGCACCTTTGTTGAATATCCTCTTCTAATAAAAGCATTTTTTTAATCTTCATCTTTTATGAACTTCACTTGAACTAAATTGTTACTTATCCTATCTCCTTATTTGACTACCTTATACATACATATTTCCCCCTCTTTAGTATCTGATCTATTAAAATTGAAACAATGATAGAAATCACCCAAAACAAGAACTAGATCTTAGGCCAGTACAAGGAGCCTCATCCCTAAAAATAGTCATCCACACCTATGACTCATTTGAAGAATACAAATCCAACAAGCAAATACATAAAGAGGAAAACTAGAATTCTATTTTAATACTAAATGCTTATTGAGTTTTAGAAAGCTCGAGGATTCTGTTTATAGCCTACAAAGGACCAAAAATAAGAAACACTCAAAATATGTCAAGATTCCTTCAAACGATAAGTTTTCCGTCATCCCTCATGAATTCAAGTAGCATAAACCTTCCATAAAAGTCCAAGTCTATATTTATACGTAAGAACTAAACAAAATAGAGAAAAATAAAGAACCAAAATAGGGACCGGACAACTTTATAAGCATGTAGCAAAGCAAATGTGGGGACTATAGTAATTAGCAGATTGGGGAATTATAGCAATTAGCAGATTGGGCGACTACAGCAATTAGCAGATTGGGCGACTACAGCAATTAGCAGATTGGGGGACTGTAGGAGATAGCAGGAGTGTAGCAATTAGAAGACGTGCGAGTCGGGTGACAATTTCGCGATAAAGCAATTAGCAAGTGTGGAAGGTGACAATAGCAGTTGACTGAAAAAATAAGGAAATAGAATGAAACAGTGGGAAGAGACAATGGACAGAGCACTTCAGCATCATGAACTCTTTTTATATAGATAATATTCTCCTTGGCCAAAAAGGCCAACTTTTCAGGACCGTCACTTATCCTCAGAGTGATCCAACATGATAGTGCTTAAATTAGGAACTACACATAAAAAGGGATCTCAATATTCAAGAGTTATATTTTACCACACTTAACGAGTCTCACATTACCAAGGATGGCAAGAACACAGGCTACCATCATTACTACAAAATTTCACCTTACATTTAATATCTAGAAATGTTTTTGACAAGGCATGATTTCTAAACATCAAAAATGAAAATTTCTTTTAAAAAGTTTCTAACATGGAGAATGATTCAGCACAGGATTGTCCCAGAAAAGGTGAGCAACAGGAAGCAAGAGCATAGAAATTTTCAACTACAGTTAAAAAAATACATAGAAAGAACAGGGAAACCTTGTACTTAGCAGGCATCCGCACGCATCTGCATTATACATAATATGCATGTGACAATGCATTCAAGTTATGTGTGCGATAATATATAAGCACGCATGTAATCTAGGCAAAGAGATCACTTTTTATAAGAGAATTACAAAAAATTGACTGAATGAAAGCATATCTACCATATTTGATAATTTCTGCACATCACTTTCTGATTGTATGCATGATCCAACATAAATCTGTTCAGTAATCTGGAGAAACACAAAAAATCAAATCAAATAAATAATAAACTATTCTTTTAGAAGGACGGGAGCACTTATACATCTTGTACCATTCATCCAAAATTTTGAATGATTGTAATTTAAATAAAGTCATCTCCCTTCTTCAATTCCCAATCTTATATTTAATTAATTAGTTGTAATCTCTTATAAATCTAGTCGGTCAAAGATGATAATGAATGGTATATTATGTGTAAGTAAAAGAAATTCTAACATTCAAAAATTATTATAGGCTATATATATATATATAATTCTAATTCGACGGCTGGACCTGATGGGTTTACTTCTTTATTTTTTCAAAAATGTTGGCATATTATTAAACCGGACCTTATTGCAGCTGTGGTTGATTTCTTTGAAGGCAATAAGATACATAAATTCTTTACTTCTACTATTATTGTTTTAATTCCTAAAAAAGATAATCCGGACACTTGGACTGATTTTAGGCCTATTAGTCTTTGTTCTTTTTTCAATAAGCTTACTTCTAAGATTCTTGTTTTGAGGTTAGGTACTTTTTTACCTAGAATTATTTCTCCTAATCAATCCAGTTTTGAGAAAGGGAGATTAATTTCTGATAACATTTTGCTGACCCAAAAGTTGGTTCAAGATTTGGATGTGAAAACAAGATGAGGTAATTTGCTTTTTAAACTGGACATTTCTAAAGCCTATGATAACTTGTCATGGGAGTTTTTATATTGTATTATTTCTTTATTTGGTTTTTTGACTCTTCTATTGGTATTATTAAGAATTCGACTGAAAATGTTTGGTTTTCAATCTTATTCAATGGAGCTTCTAATGGCTATTTTCATTCTTCTCATGGTGTTAGGCAAGGTGATCCTTTGTCACCTTCTCTTTTTATAATTGCTATGGAACATTTCTCTAGATGTTTAAATGCTCTTTTTGAGAGTTATCCTAGTATGTATTTTAAAACTAATGGTGGTTTACCCATTTCCCATCTTTGTTTTGCGGATGATTTTATTATTTTTGCTAATGGTAGCTTTAATCATGCTAAGAAAATCAAGGATTTTATTGGTTTATTTTCTTTGGAGAGTAGCCTCCAGTTTACTGCTAATAAGTGTTCTTTCTATACTTCTAAAGACATTTCTATATCTAATATTAACAGAATTGGTGCTTCTACTAACTTCTTGCATCAGAAGTTGCCTTTCAAATATTTGGGTGCCCCTATTTTCAAATGTCGTAAAAAATCTCATTTGCTTAATGAGATTCTTAATAAGATAGTGAATTATATTTCTTCTTGGGAATTTTATTTTCTTTCTTATGGTGTGTTGACCTCTGAATAATACTCAAAGGAACCAAAGAAAACGAGTAAAAAATACCTTACACACGACGGATCCGCAAAATCTATCGAGTAGCTCACGCGAATCCCGCCAGAAATCCTGGAAAAACCTTGTATCACTGTTGGCTCTATCAAAGTCCCGTAAATCCTGCTCAGATACCTCGTCTCGTCGAATGAGTCCCGTAAAATCTGCCCGAAATCACGTTGAATCACTGCACATTCGGCGCCGTTCCGGGATTCCTGTTCGCAGAGCCTCGATCCTCGCCTTCTATGCTTCTATAAAACCAAAGGGTTGGCTCTTCAGTTTGCGGCTGGCTCCCGTCGCTACCTCCACACCAGCGATCGACCTCTGCTTCCCGAATTCCTCCCGACTGCTCCTCTCAGCCGGCCGAACCCCAAGCCGATCGGAAGCCCCAACCTCTTCCAATCCC